CAGTGTTAATTTGGGAGATTTGTACAATCTTTCCTTCTCCAATTTCCACACTTCTAGAGGAATACAAATAATGGATGACAAGTTTAGAGTAAGCATTAAATATTATTCTTGCTAATAATATTTATATTAGTCAATTTATAAAAGCCATAAATAAATGTAAGATGTGACTGTTTTCTGCAATATCTCAGGCGTAATTACCAGGAAAAAGATGAACAGAAGTAGGGAACAAGTTTCTCCTCAATTTTCTGGATATCTAAACCTAACCTTATCTCCCTGGCACCCTCTCCCTCTTCTCTCCTCTGATCTCAAAAACATAATACAAATCCAGCAGTTTTGTCTTCCATGAATGTCATCTTGCTTTCAAAAAAAGCATGTTTTTGGCCAGGTGTGGTGGCTCAAACCTGTAATCCCAGCACTTTGGGAGGCTGAGGTGGGTAGATCGCCTGAGGTCAGCAGTTTGAGACTAGCCTGGCCAACCTGGTGAAACCCCATCTCTACTAAACATACAAATACTAGCCAGGTGTGATGGCGCATGCCTGTAATCCCAGCTACTTGGGAGGCTGAGACAGGAGAATCGCTTGAGCACAGGAGACCACGCCATTGCACTCCAGCCTGGGAAACAAGAGTGAAACTCTGTCTTACAAAAAAACGTATGCTTCCTGAAAACTATCACTCTTTGTGTCTCTGGGAATAGACTCTGTTCACATGTACTGGATACAATTCTGCTAGAGGAAAAAAAAGAAATCCATCAGATAATTTGAGTTTTATTATTTACACTATCATCTTCCATGTCCCGAGTTCAAAGAATGGAGCTGATTATGTCTCACATTCCCTAAGGCTTAAAATAAGGCCTAAGTTGAGGATTTTAATTTCAAGGTCACTTAGTATTATTTATAAGGGTGTTTGAAAGAAAGGCTTTTTGGATAATTTTTTTTTTTTTTTTTTTTTTGAGACAGAGTCTTGCTCTGTCATGAGGCTGCAGTGCAATGGCAGGATGCGGCTCACTGCAACCTCCGCCTCTTGGGTTCAAGAGATTCCCCTGCCTCAGCCTCCCAAGTAGCTGGGATTACAGACACGCACCACCATGCCCAGCTAATTTTTTGTATTTTTAGTAGAGACGGGGTTTCACCATGTTGACCAGGATGGTCTCGATCTCTTGACCTCGTGATCCACCCGCCTCGGCCTCCCAAAGTGCTGGGATTACAGGCTTGAGCCACCGCGCCCGGCCTCAAGAAGTCTATCTTTATCATTTAACCAAAATGAGTTTGTGGTTAATCCTCTCTGGCCCTACTACTCTAGACAGAACATTCTACCCCTCTCTGAATACACAGCATTGTCTTTATACACTATCATAGCACTTATCAAACTTAAGTGGAATCACAGGTAGGAACTGTAATCCAAAATCTTCTGCACTACAGTCTAGATACATGTATTCTCAATCGCTGGTTCATGGTACGTGTCATTAGGCAACTTTGACAACATAGCAAACCTCTCTGAACCCCGATTTTCACATTAATAAAATCAGAATTCTATTACTCACCTTACACATTTTGGAGATGCATTGAACAAAGTGGTAAACTTATAAATGCTGGGTCATGGTGGAATCAGCACTGGCCTGTGTTCCTGTGCTGTTCACTTTGGGCATATGTGTAAGTGTGTGACATGTGATGTGTCAGTGTACAAATCAGCATTCACAGAAACAGAACCAATAGAATACAGATACATGTGTGCATGTAAATGTGTGTTTTGTTTATTATTTACTGTTGATCTCTGAACAACTGGGGGTTGGGGACACTGCCACCATGCAATGGAAACCTGTGTATAACTTAACTGCTAATAGCCTATTGATGACTGGAAACCTTACTGATACATAAACAAGTCAATTAACACATTTTATAGAAGTATTGTACACTGTATTTTTACAATAAAATAAGCTAGAGAAAAGAAAACGTTAAGAAATCATAAAGGAAAGAAGATACTATTCATTAAATGGAAGTGGATTATCATAAAGGTTTTCATCCTCATCATCTTCATGCCTCAAATGACCATCTAGTGGATGTTTGTAGTTAATACAAACCCCTTCAATAAACACTTGGTGGACAGTTGCTGCCAGGGCGGACTCTCTCAGAAGAGCTACCTGCTAGCCCTGCTCAGCTGGAACTGTCTGAGTACTTCATTCTCGGCCTTCACTGCAAGCTAGAAGCTCTGCAAGTGGTGCCCGCGATGTGGTCGCCTTGAAGTTATGCATGAAGGAAGAGAGCTCATCAATTTTTGGGGAATCCCGGTAAGGGACAGTCCTGACTCCCATCAGGAGGACGAGATGCAAGCGGAAAGGATCAGGGGATAGGTTATCATGGGTCAAGAAATGACCAAAGAGCAGAAAGTAATTTTTAAAACAGTGCAACAGCTACTTAAGTGCACTGCAGAGCCTGGAGCTCTACACAAGGCATTAATTCAGCAGGAATGCCATTGGTTTCCCGATCAAGGAACCTTAGAGTTACGGGAGCAGATAGGTTGCTGCCTGAAAAAAGGATACCAGCAAGGTCACTCTACTAGTGTTACTATTTTGACCACCTGGGCACTGGTATCCTCTTTACCAAATTGCGGTGAGTCAGACTGCCCATCTTCTCCATCTGAAGGGAATTCAGGAGATTTAACGGAGAAGGAAAAGCAGGAACCAGAACAACAGGGAGAAACTCCTCTCCTGCCTTCATTCCCTTGTATGGGGAATAAGGAAGATATTTTTTCTAGTGAGAATAAGGACAGACCGGAGGCTTTTCCTCCCCAAATAGAAAAGCCATTGCCTTATTTTCCTCCACCCTTAAAGGAATCTGCATCTGTTGGCCCTGTCCAGCCAACAGCACCTCCCATCCCCCTTGAGGAGATTGGAGGCTGCCCAAGGGATGGTTCTTGGATAAGACCCCCAATCAGCGAACCATCTATATGATCGGGTGGCCAAGTCTCCTCGACAGACTTCCCTGTCGGAGGGGTGCCTCCAGGAGGGAAGGAAAGTGGCTGAGGATGACTGTTTTCCTGATAAGCAAGATCTCACTTCCTGCTTCCAGCATTGGCCTTCCTGGCCTTGTCTTTTTTCTGTTTCCCTGGAGTATAAGGGAAAGTTGCATGCTGCCTCCTGGGCTTTATCCCAGAAAGCTCTGGCTTCCTTGCTGCCCACAGAGGCCTGGCGCAGGAGAGTTGCTAAGATGCCATAGAGTGCCCATTCAGTCACTGGCAGTCTAGGCAAGTTGCCACCTTCTGGGTTTGTGGTGACAGAGCGGAGGCCGAGAGGCACAGACCGAGTCCCGGGTGGCTTCAGGCAGCTCCAGCCCAGTCCTGAGAATCCTCTTCACCATAGTCAGGTGCCTCAGTCACTGTGCCCAGAAAGCAGTCTGCTGCTTCTGTGCTGCGGCTTTTCCTACTTCTGCCACCCCTCGCGTGTCTCAGCCGACAAGCAATTCCTTGTCTTCCCTGGTCCCCTGGGGAAAGGGCTAAGAAACAGTCCACGTGCACCCTGACCTTATTAGCCTAAAGTAGGCAGAGGGGTGTGGAGCAGCTAGAGTACAGAGCTCTAGGGGAGAAGCCTGCTACTAAGGGGCGCTGTCCCATAGTCGTGTATTAAATGCTAACTAGGCTGAGGAGGACAAGCTTTCCAGCTGCTGTCATCTTCAGAACCTGTGGCGGGAAACTTCAAAGCAGACCCTATGCTGCATGTCTGCTCCTCCCCTGAGCCTCTCTGCTTGGGGTTAGTAAGAATAATAAAAAGCCCAGTATGTTTTCAGTGCCTTACCCAACAGGGTTGGCTCCAAGCGTCGGTGGCCTGGGGCGGGGGGGGGGGTTGGTTTACCCTCTTGCCTCCTGCCTCCGCACACACATACATGCACTTTACCACCTGGTCTTTCTCTGGCCTCTTGCTGCCACTTGTAGTATAAGGGCAGCAGGAGGCAGGCTGTTAAAACAGAGGCTGCCCAAGGAGCCCAGAGCAGGGGAAAGCAGCTCACTTCTAAGACATTCTAGCTAACAGCAAATCCAAGAAAATGGCCAACACCTAAAGACATTTAAAAATGTTTTTGGGGTTTTCTGTTTTTGTTTTTTTTTTACACACTTAAGCTAACTCAATATAGGTTTGTTATCCTGGTGACTTGCAGTCTCATTCCAATAACTTTCAAGGGCCAAAATATGGTTAAAATTCACTTAAGGCCAGGCGTAGTGGCTCACGCCTGTAATCCAAGCACGTTGGAGGCCAAGGCGGGCGGATCACCTCAGGTCGGGAGTTCAAAACCAGCCTGACCAACATGGTGAAACCCCGTCTTTACAAAAAAAAAAAAAAAAAAGGGGCCGGGCGCGGTGGCTCAAGCCTGTAATCCCAGCACTTTGGGAGGCCGAGGCGGGTGGATCACGAGGTCAAGAGATCGAGACCATCCTGGTCAACATAGTGAAACCCCGTCTCTACTAAAAATACAAAAAAATTAGCTGGGCATGGTGGTGCGTGCCTGTAATCCCAGCTACTCAGGAGGCTGAGGCAGGAGAATTGCCTGAACCCAGGAGGCGGAGGTTGCGGTGAGCCGAGATCGCGCCATTGCACTCCAGCCTGGGTAACAAGAGTGAAACTCCGTCTCAAAAAAAAAAAAAAAAAAAAACTGACTCAAAATCGGCATCCTTTCAAGGCCTTAGTTTAATAGGTAGGCTTTATCTTTTGTCATTTCTGTACTTTATGGGCTATTTACCTGTCTCATAACCCCTCTAAACATAGACAAAAGACCGCAGATTTAATAGCTTCTCTTCTCATAAAGGGGCACCGATGTTGCATCCAATTGTCGAGATATAACCCTGCTACTCTTTTCCTACCATTAAGCGAGGAACAATTTCAGACTTTCTTAGCTCGTGATCTTGATTGGCAAGTGGCAATAGCTGACTTTATTGGTAATATCAGCTTCCATTTACCAGCCTTGAAGCTCCTGAAATCTTTACAAACTATGCCTGTTAAAATGTATCTATCGTTGTGCTGGCTTCAGCAGCACACTTATTAAATTGGAACGATACAGAGAAGATTAGCATGGCCCCTGCGCAAGGATGACGCAAATTCATGAAGACTTCCATATTTTTTATGCAGCCATAAAAATGGATGAATTCATGTCCTTTGCAGGGACATGGATGAAGCTGGAAACCACCAGTCTCAGCAAACTGACACAAGAACAGAAAACCAAACACCGCATGTGCTCACTCGTAAATGGGTGTTGAACAATGAGAGCACATGGACACAGAGAGGGGAACATCACACACTGGGGCCTGTGAGGGGGCCGGGGGTGGACTAGGGAAGGTATAGCAAGGGGTGGGGGGATTGGGGAGGGATAACATTAGGAGAAATACATAATGCACATGACAGAGTGATGGATGCAGCAAACCACCAAGGCACGTGTATACCTATGTAACAATCCTGCACGTTCTGCACATGTACCCCAGAACTTAAAGTATAATTTTAAAAAAATTTACCAGATCATCTGTGACAATAAACCCTTTAGAAGCAAGAAAAAGAAATTACCTCTAAGCCCTTGCTTCATGCAACTACTGTCTCTACAGCAGGTTCAAAAAAAAACTGAAAAGACAGCAACAGTGTAGCAAGATGCCATGCAAAACTGGCAATACAAAATCCAGGAACATTTTTAAACTACGCAACAGGTGGAGTTAGGTGCCCCAATAATGGCTTTACAAGCTTTTCCTCACCAAGACATAAATAGAGTTAGCATTACTCACTTAGATCTTGCACATGTGAAGGGCATTACTAGTGAATCTTTACCAGCCTCATTTCTTACCGCACAGGAGCTCCTCTGTGCCCATCAGCACCCTCTTTACATCCCCCATATTCGCTCTCATTCTCGGTTACCTGGTCCCTTATCAGAAGGAAACGCTTGAGCTGATGCTCTGGTACAACCACAGATGTGGTTTGCAGACTTTCCTGCATCTTGCCAGCTCAAGTTGATTATGCTTTTTTTCTTTTTTTTTGAGGCGGAGTTTCACTCATGTTACCCAGGCTGGAGTGCAATGGCGCGATCTCGGCTCACCGCAACCTCCGCCTCCTGGGTTCAGGCAATTCTCCTGCCTCAGCCTCCTGGGTAGCTGGGACTACAGGCACGCGCCACCATGCCCAGCTAATTTTTTGTAGTTTTAGTAGAGACGGGGTTTCACCATGTTGACCAGGATGGTCTCGATCTCTTGACCTCGTGATCCACCCCCCTCGGCCTCCCAAAGTGCTGGGATTACAGGCTTGAGCCACCGCGCCCGGCCTGATCATGCTGTTTTTCATCAGAACACTCGCAGTCTTAAACAATAGTTTCATTTAACACTTGCCCAAGCTCGCATGATTATTAAAACTTGTCCTGATTGCCAACGGCATTCTCTCTCTTCTTTTCCTTAGGGCTTGGTGCCAACCCACAGTAGCAGCAGGAGGTGGTATGAAATTATTATAGGAGACAGATTTTGGATGGTACCATAATAGTGAGTGCATGTCATGATCTATTTGTCAAAATCTACAGACTGTACAACACCAACAGTGAACCTTATGTACTTTGAGTGATAACAATGTATCAATGCTGGTCAGGTGCAGTGGCTCACGTCTGTGATCCCAGCACTTTGGGAGGCCCAGGTGGGCGGATTATGAGTTCAGGAGTTCGAGACCAGCCCAGCCAACATAGTGAAACCCTGTATCTACTAGAAATACAGAACTTAGCCTGCCATGGTGGCACACACCTGTAATCCCAACTACTCAGGAGGCTGAGGCAGGAGAATCGCTTGAACCCAGGAGGCAGAGGCTGTGGTGAGTGGAGATCACACCACTGCACTCCAGCCTGGGCAACAGAGCCAGACTCTTTTTTTTTTTTTTTTTTTCTTTTTTTGAGACAAAGTATCAATGTAGATTCATCAGTTACAACAAATAGACCACATGGATGGAAAGTTGAGAATGGGGGAGGCCATGGAGGTGTTGGGGGAGGGCATATGGAAAATCTCTGTACTTTCTGCCTAATTTTGTTCTGAACCTAAAACTGCTCTTAAAAAATTAATCTTTGAAAAAACACCTGACAATAAGGATTGGTGAAGACAAGAATCAAATGGAAAAATGAACTCATACATTAATAGTGGGAATGTTCACTAACAATATTAGTGAGGCTGAGAACACCTATACCGCAAAGTCCCAAAATACTTCTAGGTATGAACCAGTAAAACCTCTTTCACACATTAACAGCAGTGTTATAGCAACATTGTAGTATCTACCAACAGGAGAGTGAAAATAGATTATACAGCAGTGGTAATATGTGAACTAAAGCTACAAATATCAAGCACAAATAAATTGCATAAATATGTTGAGGGCAAAAAAGCAAGCTGTAGAAGAATTATAGTATATAATACTTAAATACATTTCAAAATCAGGCAAAACAGTAATACTATATTTGAAGGATTCTAAAATGTTCAGTTACTGACACACGTGCAAGTGAGAAAAAATACATATTAAAATATGACGCATTGTCAACTGTAAGATGTATTCTGACAACAGAATGTTAAAATGTGTACTGTAGTATGGATGAAATCTGGAAAATGTTGTTCAGAGACATGTGCACTAAAAGTCTACGGAAATATATGGGAATGATATTTTCTAATCCATTATAGTGCTTACCTCTGTAGGAAGAGAGGAACAGAGGGAGGGGTCATATGAGGGAGAGGTTAAAAATAATACAAGGCGGCCTATTATAAAAAGAAAGAGGCTGGATGTGGTGGCTCATGCCTGTAATCTCAGCACTTTTCTGGGTGTGGTGGCGCGCACCTGTAGTCCCAGCTCCTTGGGAAACTGAGGCAGGAGAATCACTTCAACCCAGGAGGCAGAGGTTGCAGTGAGCCCAGATCAGCCACTGCACCCCATTCTCTGGCAACAGAGCAAGACTCTGTCTCTAAATAAATAAATAAATAAATACTTCTGTATGTGTTACTTATATACAAATAATCTCCGAAAAGGTAGATAAGACATATGATCCAGCAAAAGTAAATACCACATCCCTTGTTGGAAGACCTTACCCTTTTAGTCCATGACCCTGTGCAAGCAGTGCCAAATACCACTTTGTCACAATTTAACAGCCCGGTGTGGCTGGCCAGAAAGGCCTCCAGGCATGGAAGCTGACCAAAGACCATCACAAGCTGATTGCCAAGATCTCATCCTTGGCCCCTGCGGTGTTAGCTATTACCACCATTACCAAGACAGTAGAGGAACCTACTGGAGACTGATAAGCAGCACGCGGTCACGCCATCTCACCAACCTGGTGATGGTATCACAGTCACATGGCCCGTCGCAATCCTGCCTGAGACACACACGGTAACGCATGCACAGTGCCCCCACAAACAAGCTATTCCAGATGCACAGATGCAAACCTCATAGCAACACAAGACAAAAGACGCACACACGCTCTCGTGAGCAGGCTCGGAACAGGCACCGGCAGGCGCACGCGCAGACCCGCTAAGTGCGCAGACACGCCAAGGCAGACACCCGCGAACACCCATAGGCAACCCCAGACAGAGACGGTCCTACAGCTCCCGGCCGGCACAGGCTGGCCTCTATGGAGAATGCAACCGCCCTACCTGGTTCTCCTGGGTACAAGCAGCACCGCCTCGCAAGTCTTCATTCACCCTGGGAACACGGGGACCGCAGCTCCAGGGGCAGGACTGGCCCGCAATGGCCTCTGGGAAATTAAACAGGGGAAAGGCGGGAAACGGTCGTCGCGAAGGGTTATGGGGCTGGTAGTTCAGAGGGCGAGGAATGTGCTCCCAATGATGCAAACCGCGTGCAGGCCCAGATACTTACTAGAGCCACAGCCCCGCGCCATCCCAGGGTTCAGCTGGAAGAACTAAGGCCCCAACCGCTGCCCCTGCCCCGGGAAAGAGTAATGTGGGGAGAGGAGGAGCCGAGCGGAGGGAGGAAGGGAGGGTTCTAAGGAGCTCCTGCCCACCAGCTCAGCTGAAGGTGCTGCTGTCAGGAAGCCGGAGAAGTGGAGGCTACACCTGGGAGAGGAACGCTCTGAGGATGCACGTCCAAGGGAACCAACAAGCCAAGAAGTCAGACCTGTAATTCACCTTAATTTGGGCAGCTCACTGCATCATAACGGTGCTCAGAGGCCGGAAGATAAACCGGGGAGGCTGTTTTCCCGGTGTCCTAAGCCCCATCCAGAGCAGGAGAAAGAGACCGTGAGGACGGAGGGAACAACGATGAAAATGTCTCTTTGGAGGAGGTGGAACTCCTGATTCCCAGCTAGGAAGGGAAGTCTTCAGAGAGCTCTATTAGGACAACCCATGATGCAAGTAGTCTTTCATGGGTGTCGGGACCCTGGGCATTTAGTGCAGAGGGCATATTTGGGGATTTCCAGCACCAGGGCTCACCAACCTTTATCGCATGTGCTACCCAAGGCAAGGCAATGGTTTCCTATGGCCAATATATGCTCAAATTTTCTGCAAGAGTTGGGGTATTTGACCTTTATCTTTGAGACCAGAATAAGCCAACTACCTGGATGATATGGAGGAAAGGATTCTCCACTTGATGGCAGTGAGAAGGAAGGGTCAGCAAAAGGGGCCAAGAACAAATGGTCCAGGTCACAGTCCTTCCCAGCCTTCACTATGGCACAACCAGAAAATGGTAATATTTGTATGCCACACTGTAGTTGTAAAATTAGAGTATAGGTTAAGCTGATACAGCAAAGGTCCTAAAATACATATTAAGTGACCTGAATACCATGTTTATTTCTGCCTCGTTTAAGAGTCTCAAGCTGAGCAGTCCAGGGCTGGTGGGATAGCTCTGCCTTCCAGCATGAGTACTATCCGTCTTTGGGGCAAAGGAGGATGTTAAAATTCTCAGTGTCTCCCAGCCAGTAGGGCCGGAGAGGGCAGAGGAAGCAGGCACAGTGCTTTCTAGGGTTGCAGTCCAGAAATGATGCTCATCCCTTTTGCTCACATTTGTCAAACTGCACTGCATAAAAATGAGAAACTGTTGTGCATCACAGGACATTATGAAGACAGTCAAAAGATAGCCTAAAGAATGAAGGAAGGCCGGGCGCGGTGGCTCACACCTGTAA